GCGCGCATAAAGAAATTAAATCTTCTAAACATTAGACGCAGAGGACAGAAGAGAAGGTGCGGTGGCGATAATAGAGACGCCGATGACGCAATAGACCAGGTGTCAATGTGGTGGCCTCAATAATGTTCTTCAAAGCACTCAGCATGCCAAAAATTATGAAAGCGTCATAAAGATACGAGCTCATAAAGACTATGGAAAAATGTGACGAAAGCTGAAATTATGCGAATATTTTTGGCAACAACTTACCAAAGAGCCTGCCAGCAGCAAAAATGGATACGGTCATGTAGTTGAATGTGGCTAGAGCATGCAGTTGTGGAAATTAAAAGTGAAATGGATATAGAAAGTTACAGTAAATTTATAACTTCTACATAAATGCCCTGCCGAGAAATATACTAGTTGTCAACTAGAATCCAATTGGTTTTCATTATTGCACTGACGGTTTTGACTATTTAAAAAATAAATATGTAAATAAAAAAAAATAATAAAATAAAATAAAATAAAATAAAATAAAATAAAATAAAATAAAATAAAATAAAATAAAATAAAATAAAATAAAATAAAATAAAATAAAATAAAATAATATAAATAAAAATAAAATAAAATTATATAAAAAAATCAGTAAAAATAAAATATATAAAAATAAAGTAAAATAATATTAAGTAAAATAAAATAATTTAAAACAAAATCAAATCAAATAAAATAAAATAAAATAATCTAAAATAAAATGTAATAAAATATAAAAAATTAATTTAAATTAAATTAAACCAAATCAAATAAAATGAAATAAATCAAATAAAAAAACATAATATTAAACAAAATAAAATAAAATGAATTAAAACAAAATAAGATAAAATAATATTAAGAAAAATAATATAAAGTAAAATAATATAAAACAAAATCAAATCAAATGAAATAAATTAAAATAATGTAATATAAAATAAAATTAAATAAATTTAAATTAAATCAAATCAAATAAGATAAAATAAAATAATATAAAATAAAATGAAATAAAATAATATTAAATTAAGTTAAATAAAATCAAATTAAATAAAATGAAAAAAAATTAAATTTTATAAATTAAAAAAAGGGAATCAAATAATTTAAAACAAAATAAACTCATATAAATAAAAATAAAATAAAATAAAATAATATTAAGTAAAATGAAATAAAATCAAATATAAATATAAAATATAAAATATAATATAAATTAATAAAACTAAAATATCGTAATGACGAAGTGACGAACGCCATGTTGCTAGTAGTAAAAACAACACACGGCGGTGTAAACTATTAGTACTCCGTTATTGCTGAACCGCAATACAAATAGCCAACTGGTATGATCTCGTCTTCAAAATACTGCTATTTAACTAGAATTTTTGCATTCGAGTCCATTTTCTCCCTGCAGGGTACATACCCAACACCTTCACCCTCTGGCTGTGTGAAGTGATTTATGCAACGATATTTCGGAGTTGTTTCATTCCTGTACATACACCGAGCCAGTGCTTCAGTGCTCGAGACATCAACATTCATGCAAAAATAAATATGAAAAAAAAAAAACCAAAAAACCAAAGAAAAACTTATGTTCAGCTATAAACTGCAAATGGCGCCCAAGGGAATCATCAAAATACACAACAACGGCAAAAAAATAATAGAAAAAAAAACACAAGCAGAGTTCAGTTCCAGAAACGAATATAAAAAAGATAACTTTGTAACAAAATACAGGTGAAGAGGTGAGGTGAATCAACGGCAACAGCATGTGGAGCGCAGATTGGAAAAAGTTCAGATACAACGTTGAAAAGTTACCACAGATACAAGTTGAGGCGACTATCATTGGCCCGATAGCAACGCAACGTGCTACCATTCAGCACAACGTGCAGCCCAACAACGACAACTCTCCAACCACCACCCACACAATAATAAAGCTTGTTGGAGTTGGTCTGTTCGCTTTTGGTGAATGTATTTTTAGTGGAAAAATCGTATGCCATCAAGTGGTCAACAGCTGCACAAACAGCGTCTGAGCAATATGGCCAATAAACTGTCGGACTAACTGCCATTCGTCAAGCACTCGACCGTGCGTTGATATGGTGGCAGTTAGTTGGGTTCAGTTGGGGTCAGCAGCTGCTACTGGCGAAACTACCGGCCACTCTACATAAATGACTTTCCGCAGCTATTTGCCCTCTCTCCTGCTTCGAACTGTGGCAATCGCTAACTTGCCACGCAGTTTGGGTCATAGTTTCTTAGCTGACATTTCGCTTGCTTAGACATTTGAGTTGTAGTGCGCGTAGTCGCCGGCAAAAGGCATTTCTTGTTATGCCATAATCTATTAGATTTGAGCTAACACTCAGGACTGCGTTTAATGGTTAGTTCCTATGAGTATGTTTATATAGATACATACATACATATGAGGGCCGAACTTTAAGACTATTTAATTGATTAAATCTAACTTTTAGCTTCCTACCCGCATGCTCTCTAAAAGTAATTTTTAACTGAGTTGCACCTTTAAGCTGCCTCCGAACGGCTGATGAATTCTAATGGAAAGCTTTCAGTCCCATATCAAAAAACTACGTGGAGGTATTTCCTTCCAAGTAGAGGCAGCTCCTAGAAAATCTTTCTAGCCTTTGAAAGCGCCCACGCTCAGTCGCGAGAGCTAAGTCTGCTAGCAGGCAAAATAAACCTTCGTCTTAAGGTAACCAGACTGGAAGATGGGTCATAATGCAAAAGTTATCTTCTGACTTAAAGTGGGTTAGGTTGGCGAAAGTTTGACAGTCCTCAATCGAATAAAATCTACTGACAACTCAGATGCGTAAAATCGGGTGTCGTGGGAGGGAAGAACCCAGCAGATTTTTATTGGAGCCCCGTCACATCAGTGGTGCATTCGACACCACATACAAAAACCGCTAGACAAGACGGCGTAAATACAGCCATTAAACGCCATTCACGGAGGGTCCGTCAATACCATTATGAACTCTCTGCCCGTAAATAGTGTTCTTGAAGACGTAACACCACCTATTGTAGACGAAGAGCTGGAGCTGCCTCGAGAGTGTCGCGTAATACCGGCACAACTTTGGTCTCCACATTTTACTAGATTAAACTTAAAATTTTCCTCATTCAATCCCGAAATACCTAGAGTATGTCCGACATACAATGAGTCCCCGCGTGACACTAACCATCTCATTGCAAGCTCCTCAAAACTATCTCATCTAACCGCTCTTTCCATTTGGTACGAATACGACGAAACAGCTCGTTTTTTGGACCGACCGTTAGACGACCTCGATGACAACAACAACATTTTATAATAATGGTTAACGGACAGGACTATCAGACTCCCAGGCAGTAGTCAATTTCGGTAGTCGCAATAGCAGATGTTTATCACGGCGGCCGCACTGCCATTCGGAAGACCACGGTTCGGGTCCTGGTTTGATCAACATTCAGAATTATGGAAAATAATTAAATAAAGCCCTCCGAGTGTATTTCTGATATAAAAAAGCTCCTAAAAAAATCTGTCAGCCATTCGGAGGTGGCTCTGCATCAACTGTAGGTCTCTCTATTTTTGTGAAACTCAGCAGGATGCATAACACAAATTGGTGAAGGAGTTCGGTCGAAAATCGCTTCAGCGGTTACAAAGCCTCAATCGTATATATAAACGCTGATATGTGCAAGGAATTGTAAGAGGTTTCTGCAAAGGTTCAATAGGTTCAGCTCGAACATTGTGACAGATGATATATGTAGATTAACATTTAAAAATTCACTGAATACGACACGCTTCCTTCTAAAGACATCCAAGGCCAAACTCAATCTGTGACTCCTCAGTAAGCATGCATGGTATTAGTGGTTCAGGGGTAGTCGGCCTAGATACGCTGCAACTCAGTAGCTCAAAGCGGGTGTAAGCTTGCTTGGGATGTCCGCCACTTCTTTAGCGAAAATACTCCACTCCCCTAGCAGCAAATGTTGCAACTGCAAGCAAAAAAGTCATATTTTTGAGACCTGTAATCGATTTATCTGCAACAGGTGCTGTATTTATGGCGGCTTAACAATGTGGACTGATAATGGTTCTTATATAGAAAACTCCATATTTGTTCAACGCTGAGATTGAGAGTCTATAAACCGTCTAGCTGGGCAAGAGGAGCGAGAAAAAGCTCTTAAGATGCTCTTCAGAACAGTGTTCAAACTAAGGAACCTTTGAGTACTGCGTCTTTCGTGCGCAAAATACGATTATGGTAAGTAAAAATGCAGTATAAAAAAATTATTTTGAGTTATGGAATTGAATTGGAAAATTTATTATTTTAAAATTGTATTCCAATTTTTTTTTTTTTTGTTGAAAAGTTCATATTATTCTAACGACTTCTCTGATGTTTGAAAAAAAAAATCCTTTATTACTTTTTGTTACTACTTATCGGCACATCCTGGTCTGACTAACAAATCAGATACTTTCGTTTAATTTATTTTAACATTCACTCATTCACGTATCGTTCGCAAAGTTTCGCTTTCGGCCAATAATTCAAAAACAAAATTGTCATGATTAAAATTCTACGCATATTGTGTTGCTACTTATTCTACACCTTAATTGCCGACACTCAACTGTGACCGGCATAATAAGAAGCAGCAACTAAGTTTCCAACTGCCATCATTCACGCGCACAAACATGCAACAATGTGATGACCAGGGAGGTGAGCGACTCCCCGGTGCTGTTGTGTGTGAGCGAGACGTGCATGAATTAACGGTATATATGTATAAATGTCAAGCGCCACATCTGCCCCCCAAGCGCAACTAGCAGCCCATTTTGTACCGCCAAAAAAAAAAAGAAAAAATTTTGGATAAAAACTTATCGTAACGTGCTGTGCGACATCACCTTGCCAGCCAGTTACCCTAATAAAGCATCAAGTCATTTATCACGAGAGAGCTGTGGAGCTGTAGAGCAGCAGCAGCAGCATCAAAAAAAATTGAAATGCGAAAAAAGAGGAAGAAAAACAACAACCACAAACATCGAATACAACACTTACCCACTATATTCAAATAGACGGAATGTCCGATCGGTGGTGTTGTTGATATCTGACACTCATAGATGCCCGAATCTTTGCGTTGTGCGTAGCGTATACGTAACGTCCAATCCTCGGCGTGCGGCGAATGCATCGCTTCGAAACGTTGATCCGACGTGTAGGTGTAACGACCGACTGTCAGCAGGTGAATGTCACGATGGCGCACCCAAGAGACCTGCAAAATAGCGGGGGTTGGAAAGAGAGCAAAGAAAAAAAGAATATGAAATAGTAATCCTGAATGGATGGTTGGTAGGTTGCTTGGTTGGTAGAGTTTTGCTCAGTTTACGTAAACAAATAGTGTTGCAAGTGTTTGGAAATATGTACAAATGTGTATGTGTGTGTGTGTTTGTGTGTGAGTTGGTAAAGAGAAAAGATTAAAAGATTAAATGCATTTGTAATGGAACTGACTACACAACGTACATGATGAGAGTTATGGTAGTAGACGCGAAGCTGGCATGTATGCATGTGTGTGTAAGTATGTCATGCTAATTTTCTACATCGCACTTCACCTCTTTGCGTTTACTCACTTGACTCAAGTTTCCTATGCATTTCATGATACAAAGTGGAACACACATTCGTGTATCGCTTTGTTATTCATTTGTGTGTATTTGGCCGTTGTTTGTCATTGTGGCGAATTGAAGATGGATTATTCGACTGACGCTTGTATATTGGGTGCCTAATTGTTTTTTCTATGGAAATCGGACTTAGAATTCTGTAGTTTGAAACATGAAATCTAGAGAATTTTATTATAAAGGTCATTGTAATTTTGTCAGAAAATATGTTGATATGTTGATATAGTTTATTTAAATACAATTAATGTTATTTTTTTTTTATTTAAATTTAATTTCATGTTCTATTTTATTTTGTTTTATTTTTTGTCTTAATTTATTTTATTTTACTATACATTTTTTTTCTTGATTTGACTATTAACGCGAAACATACTTTATTTTACTTTATTTTATTTTATTTTATTTTATTTTATTTTATTTTATTTTATATTATTTTATTTTATTTTAATTTATTATATTTTATTTTTTTATATAATTTTGTTTTATTTTACGGTCGTAATACATAATATTACATATTTTATTGTAAATATGTTTTGTATATAAAAGAAATAATTGTCGATTTACTTTATTTGTCTTCCTAGTCCTACTCCGAATTCGGTTTATTTTTATTTGCCGTAATTGAATTTTGAGTCCTGCGGCAGAAATAAAATCATTACGGAGATTGCAAAATCTAGAGGCATTTGAACTAATTCAAGTTTCTATATGTACATACATAGACATGCACATAAGCCAATATTGTGTGAATGTTGCTGTGCTATTTTTGAGGATGATGTGAAGAAAATGTGAAGAGCATATCAACATGATAATGATGTTACTTGTTGGTGCTAGTATTTTATTTGCGAATCCATATAAATTTTTTGTTATTTTCTTTCAAACTTGTGTTCTGATTCAATGTATATAAACTAGATGTCATTTCTTAATTTATAATGGTTTTTTTTTTCTTTTCGTCTGATGTAATGGTAGCCACTTCAACCTCTGGTTTCTTTGCGGCAAGAAGTTGAATCATATTTTTACTCATACATATTTCGTAGTTTTTTCTTTTTGCAATTTTCAAATAATTACATAATATATATTATCTCATCTTCTTCGTTTTGTATTTTTTCCACGTTTTTAGTTATTTGTATCTTTGTTATTTGGCAAGCATCCAAAGTTCTTGCGCTGCTCGTTATAGCGGCTGCAATCACATGTGTTTCCACTTATTGGCGCCGGGTTTTGCTTGTTTTTCTGCCCGTCTGGTACTACTTTCCGTGTCACTTTTGTTATTTTAACAATTTGATTGTTGTGTTTTCTGCTCCTAAAGCACTCTGCTTTCCGCACGGCTTTTGTATCGCTTGTTAAACCGTTATTTTTACTACCTAATCACTGCTGATGATCATAATTATGCTTAATTGCGCAATTACTGGCAATAACTGTTGTAATCTCCGCTCCATACATGCTCCATCCAAATTGCCCAATTTCAGAGGGCATACAGAGAATAGAAAGAGAGAGAGAGAGAGCGAGTACAAAAAAGTTGGCAAACTAATTGTGAGATTGAGAGTGTTTTTTGTTTGCCTTGCAAGTGATACAATGTTTTGGCAATTTCAATAATTGTAATTTGCTCGTGACTTGGCTTTATTGGCCACCGGATGTTAGACATGCTATACATATACATGTATTTGTATGACTGTGTGTATATTTTTAAAAATAAATATTTTGCTATAATTCGGTGCGCGTGTAAGCATTAGCTGTACCAGTTATATTGGATTATATTAGCTTTTTGTTGGGCCAAACTTTTGCCGGAAATACTCACTAATTTAGTAATTGAAAAGTTTTGTCGAACATTTAAGCCTTAACAATTTTAATTAGTTTTGTTGTAAGCGAATAAAATGGATGTGGTAAAATTATGGTAACGGGAGGGGGGACTTTTAAGCTTTGCAGGCTTTAAAGGAATGTTATTGATGGAACTGACGAATATTCAGAATACTTGCTGTCTGTATGAAATTTCTTGAAATTGTGAGGCTCCTTGGAAATTTCTGATATTCTTGGCAAATCTTACAGCTCTTCAACCTCACAAATATCTTGTGGAAAAATACAAAATATTTCAGCAAATTTACTGAAAAAATGCTAATTTTATGGGGCTGGCTGTGGTGAGAGACGACTCGCCAGCGGAATGAGCGTACTGATGATAAAACTCGTAGCACTAGCGGGAGCAGACTATCCTACCAAGTGCCTCAGTTTGCCTCTGACCACTATAAAAATGCCGTGATTCAGTAATACTAAAGGACGTTGAAGATACCTCATTACGGCCGCGTTTGAAGAGGTGAACTGGATGGGCAACTTAGAAATATTAGACAAGGGTTTCCTCGAGGTGGTGTCCTCTCCCCACTTTTGTTTAACTTATATATATTGAAGCTCTCGCCTCCAAGTGAAGGAGTTTTAGTTCGCATATGCTGATGATTGCTCGATATTGTGTTCTGGTCAGAACACTGATGACTTGTCACGACGAAATTTGCCACTTCTTCACTGCGAGACAAGTTACAACCTGAGAGACGAAGGAATACCGACTCGAACTCGATGAAGTGAAAGTGGATGACGTAAAATGCCTCTATAAATAATCCAAAGTTACTGGTAGTCACGTTCAACAGCCCGCACTCGTTTACTCCCCAAACGACTGAAATGGAAACAAAACTACAAGGTCGACTCAAAGAAATATTGCTGGCGACATAGAAGGCAATTGACTTACTGGACACTGTGCTGCTTTGCTTTGCACGCCGGAGACTAATGAGACGTAGATGAAGATGAATGTTGAAGAAAACACTGCTCTCAGCACTGTGAAACCTTCTGTTGACGCCAGGGTTTCACTTGCACCGCAACATAGCTAAGCTACGAGTTAAGGAGGAGCATAATGCTAAGCTATGCAAGCAATATCTGCTGAGACGTCTCCTAAGGAAGCCTCCCCACAGGCATTTACTTCAAGCCAAGCCATCATCTATGCATATCAGGAAGGGAATACTTGAGAAGTGGACACAGTAGCAGATTATTTCTACGAACGCCTCAAAAATTTAGATAGTTTCAGTGACTTTAACTCTGTTTTCCAAGTAGTGACTGTGAGCTCTACTCACCGAAGGTTCGAAATGTGCAACGGCAAAATTGGAAGATACTATAGAGTACAAAGAGCCTACTGATTCATGTACTTATACTCTCTTCTCTTCAAGTTCTACTTATGAGCAAATCGTATTAAGCTAGACTCACGATGTGCTGCAGAGTGAACTTAGTAGTCTGTCTACCGAAATTTGCTCAAAAGATGTCACTCGAAACATGCGGTTCTACAAGAGAAGACGTCTCTTCAGTGCTTGACTCAATGTTCTTTTTAGAAATTGTTGCCCTACGCTATACCTCACAGTAAATTTAGATCAAGGACGAATAACTTTCTCTTATATTTCATACAACTGCTTGCCTTGTGTACATCTAGCAAACATTATATCGGAGCCAAATTCATTGAAGGTTAAAAAAATATCTGACCAAACTTACAAAGCAGGCGCAGTGGATGGAATAATTATATTGAAGCTTCTACCTACCCATCTGACAAAATAAAAGAATATCTTTGGATGACGATTACGAATTTCGCCACAATTATCCTGCTGGGAAACGCTAAACTAGTATGAAAAAAATTCTGGTGAAATACTAGTATTTTGAAGCTGTAATCTTACCACTTCGTTATATATGGCAGTTCACCAGTAATGTGAGTAATAATAATTTCCACCATCAAGAGTAGTTTTTATATGTGGCACGTTACAGCTGAGTTCCATTCCCAGTTAAACTCTGTTGAAGTGCGCGAAATGATATTCATCATGTTTACGTCACGATAAACGGCTGAAGTAGAAACTCAACATGCCGAAATGAACTGGTATACAACTAGTATGTAACTGATGCATGGACTGACAATTGACAGTTCGCATGACAACGCAGTGCTCAAAATACCAGTTGCTTACATGGAAAATAGATGGGAGGACGATCACGATCCATTTAACAACTAGTATTGTAATTTTGGGTGGTCTTGCAATTTGGGTGCTTTATTTATATCTTCCCTAAAATGCTCCACCAAGTCATACATAATTTAAGCCATGGAAGTATGCTCTTATGAATATTCTCTTGAAATACAATTTTTTTTGCTTGATATCTGTGGATACGTCAGTAATTTATTTTCGCCTTTTTTAATTATTTTTATATAAGCTGAACGAAAAAATAAAATTTGTCGTTAGTTTATGTGCTGTTGAATGTTCGTTTGGCTAAGGTTTGAACCCATTACCTTCCGTATCACAGTACCATAGTGCCCATCACATGATAACTCAAGCCTCCAAGAGTAATATTAGAACTTAATTGCCCTTCAATTTGAAAGTCTTTACAGCTAAAATATTTCCTACTGCATTTTCACATTAATTGCAAACTGAATTTAATACAAAATCCAACTGACTACGATTGTTTGTTATAAATCATTCCATTGGCCATCGAACTGAATTCACAAATTATTAATTGCATGCAATTACCATATTTATACGCTAATTTAGCCAAATGGCTTTCATTCATTTGTGGTATATGATTTTGTTGAAAAATTTCCATAATTAAA